TTTTTGCTGGAACGACAATATACAAATAAAGAAATTATATTTATTTTTTGTTTAACAGTTTTTGGATGATTTTTTTTTTTTGAAATCAGAATCAATGTTTTCAGATAGTGGCTTTCTACATTTGGAGCATAAATTAGGGTTTTTATTATTATTACATTGTTCGCAAAGAGATACACAATAGTATTTTACCATAACGAAAAAACTATAGTTAGGTTAGTTTCATGATATAAGCCACACAAGGAGTATCTTGAGGTCCTACAACACTTTTTAATTTGGCATTTTATTCCTTTAGTTAAATTCATCCGACTTTTTAAAGTGATGGAATCTTGTATATGCCTGCGCTCACTTATATTATGTAAGGGAGTAGTTGAAAAACTATCCATAGAAAAAATAGTTAATTTTTTTAGATCATACTCTTCAAGTTCATGTGCAGAGGCTCCTTTCCCTTTGAAAGTATTTCTCATATGATCGTGAAGGCGCTTATTCTGAATTTTCTTAATACAAATACAACAACATAGAATGTATCCATTGACTAAAAATAACCTTCCAGTCCAAAATATGATGGGGCAAAGATTTGGGCCAAACTGGCTATGAATGGGGAGTCTCATACAAAGATTTTCGATATATTTTGGATCGAATATGTGTATATCTTGAAAATAAATTGCAACTATAGTAAACTAGTTTTTTTTTCAAAATATATATGAGCAAAAAATAATGTTATTGCTAACTTATCTTAAAGTGGAAACTTGCTTATTTATACTGTCCATTTGCTAGATCTAAAAAACCTGGCAGAAAAAAAGTTACACAATTAGTAATTGCAGTAGGGTAACGCAATCTAGATCACACCATGTAAAGCAAGTCTACTCGGTCATAAGTTCCAAATACTGAATCTATTTTGTCGCTTTTCTGGTGAAATTAAACCCCCCTTAGATTCAACAATCTCTCCTGCAAAGTGAAAAAGTTAACGATCCCGGTGATCTGTGAATTCCAAGTTCCTGCAACATATGAAATTTGATAATACTACTGATAAAGAAAGTTGCACTCTTCTCTATTATAGCCCTTTTAAGTTCCATTTGTACTTTTTCTTATTGCAGTATCATATATAATAAGAAAAGGCTTTTTAGATATTCGTTAACAAAATCGACCGTGAGAAATGATTCTGCAGGAGAGTGACACCGCATAAAATTTAATACAGGCTATTGATTATTAAAGCCAGTCAAGGATTTGAACTGAATATCAAGTGACGTGAATATTGCTATTTTAGCTTTGTCATACTATTATATGACTTAACGGTTCCGTGGGTCCGCTTTTATTTTGGCCTAGATCATAATGCGTATATACTTTATTTTTTTCTAGCATAGATCAATGGCGAAATAAGTCACAAACGGCTGTTATTTTTGAATGGTTATTAACGTGGTTGTGCTAAATTAACGCACATTTATGTTTGCAGATATTTGTACAGTATTTACACTTCTGCTAGATGTTTGATCAACATATTTTGATTATATTGCATAAATAACGAAGTTATTCTAAATTTGTAGATCCAACTTAAATATAGCGTGTAAAATAATTACTGTACTCCATATAGCCAAATGCGCCTCAACAAGTTATTAACAATGTAATCCAAATATAGAAAATGCAAGATTGTTTGATTTGTCGTGTTCTATAATTGTGGTGCCGGATTTAGTAAACAATTTAATTATTTGTTTGCATGACACCAAATAGCAATTAGACTGTAGTTGACTCGTGTCAAATTATCGCAATGCCGAGTCATTCATATTACATACTGCCTCGTGTCAATGCAAATGCAAGAAAATAAATTGCAATCTCTAATGAATAGAACCAATAAATAGAGCCACCTTTAATATGAAGTTCCATTCCAATTTTGCTTTTTTTCTTAAAAACATTTAAAAAAATTTTCTTTACTTACCTGCTGTATAAGCACTTTGTCGTCCCAAAATAAATCTGTTGCATTATTATCGAAGGCCTCTAAAAGAAATCTATGTAAAAAAGACCTTCGTGCGATAAAAAAAGCCAAATTTGAAAACCTTGATATTTTTGTCGTTGAAGATAATACTAATTCCACATCTAATATTAACTTGGCCGATGTAAGAGAAGATATTTTCTACGATCCTCTAAAAGTAAGTTAATTAATTTTGATACAAGTAAACCCCTATTATTTATAGTATAGTCTTCTTAGGGGTACTTTTCACCTTTCGAGGCAGGCCTAGGATCCGAGTATTCCCTCCCTATTCAGAGTTATATTTTTTTCTTGGGTGTGATTGTCATCCTTGATGTGGGGCGTGTGTGAGGAGGAAGGTGATGCAGACTTCATGGGTTTTAAACCCCCAAACCACACTATATAAAGTGATTTGAATGTATCCACCAAGAAAATTTTATTACTATTCGCGATAAAAAAAATTTGTATATAAATCTAACAATTTTTTGAATATATATTCTCTAGCACAAGATCCAGAGTAAAACCTATTTATCTACTAAAACTCAAACTCCATCTTGCATAAACTCATATTTACTAGATGATTATTGCCTCGATTGAATTGCGAAAAAAAGTAAATATACTATAGCTGAGGTAATTAATATTAATATTCAGTCAAAAGATATTAAGTCTATCTCCTTCCTTGCATTTTTTCACACAGAAGCCCAATACTCATCAACATCAATAAAGCTGGGTGCACCTGCACTGCGCTGTATGTATGCAACAGATTTTGGTGATAACAGAGGAGTCAATGAACGTATCAAACTAGGTGTGAAGTTTTTGCTTTTTATAGACTTGATTGGCACAATATCTTGATAAGCTTTTTGGATAAACTGTGCACTTCCATCTTGGGTTTTAGATTCGAAGCATTCAGTGTCCCAATGATTTTGCATCAAATCTTCGGGCCTGATCTCATAGCCAGATCGATGCCATCCATCCCAATATACCTTTTTTGGCTCTACTTCAGTAATCTTTACTAATCTCTAGCATTTAAAGCATAAAGCTATTTGACTTTTATGAACTTTAGGTCTTCGATAGCTGATATGCTCTATTTTCGGTCTATGATTTTCAAGATATGTCCTAATACTTCCTTGTCCAAATAAACCAAAAAGGCAGTATATATGGAAAACACTAGGTCTTTCTCTGGAAAGTAACTCTTTCAAATCATCTTTTATACGAATAACCCACTGTTGAGATGTTTCATAGGGTCTAATAATAGCTAAATCGTCATATTTTTTTTCTAGTTTGCACATATTTTCAACACGATTATAGTTATAACTATTACCTTTTGCTAAATCCTTTATTACATGACCCAAATCATATCCTGGACGGAGGTTAACAGGTTTGGGTACAGATTTATTATAAACCTCATCAATAATGATTGTAATTAGATTGGTTATATTTATTAACAAATCAGTGTTTTAACGATTTATAGCGTTTTTAGCAATTTATAGCGTTTTTAGTAATTCTTTATCAACCTATATCAAGGAATATCATGATTCAAATTTGTATATAGCTGAAAACGAAAAAAATGTAAGTAATTGTTAATATACACTTCATAGATTTTTATTTCACATCAATACCGCCAATTCACTGCACTTTGTTGGTTCATTGTCGGCAGGGGTATGTGTACTTCTTTTGTACAATATTTTTCTGGCTTCGAGCAAGTATTGCGAGAAGGCAGTATTGTGATCTCAAGAATAGCATTAGGAAAACGGCGGACTTGCCGAGAGGAGATGTCACCAGGGCGCAGTAATCACATGATGTTGCGACTTGGATGCCAATGTGAAATAAAAATCCTGCCTTCTCACAATAGATAGTTAATGAGATTCATCGTGTGCAAACTACTATCAGTTATAGATGTATCAAAGGTAATCAATTTCTGCATCTCTGAACTTGCGAGAGCGCAGTAAAAGTTTTATGAATTAGCTGAGACATTTTTTTCCTTCCGCTTCTATCTTGCCTCTATCTCTTTTTGTAGGTTCAATGGTGTGTCAAACCTTAGTCGAATAGCAAGAGGATCATCCTCCGGCCTTCTGAGATCAAATACAACAAACTCACCTTTATAGAGGTAGCTATTAATAACCATGGATACACCCTTTACATCATCAGTATATCGTCCAACAATTTTGGAGATATCGTGAGCACTACTACCGCCATTAAATATCACTAAATGGGAGACATTTTCTCAAATAATAATGGGAACTTTATGATAACGTTGTGTTATATAAATAGGTGAAATGTTCCTGTGATGCCCGTGAGTAAAGAAAGGTATAATTTGATTTTGTATATACTCTGGAGCAACACACAAATCCTCAAAAATAATAACAGTACTCCTTTCTGGTGAGAATGATTTCACGTTTGGAATCCTTTCAGGAGGAATATAGCTAAACCGAATATTCTCATAATATGGCGCTCTTGGATCTTTTGAAATTGCGCCATACATATATCTTACAAATGCCCATTTTGGTTTGTCAGGATGGTAACCACATACTATCAAATCATCACATCTAATATATCTTGTTCCCCTTTCCATCCTTTGTATATATGCTCACTCTTATCCCCTAAGAACAAATTTGCTAGTAAATTGGTCTTACCTGTACCACTTCTTCCGCTAACTATCTTGCTGAAAGGCCATGTCATTACTGGATGTCCAACATTTCTGGATGATTCATGCTTTGTGGCCTTATCCATATCCATAAGGTAAAGTTTCATAGGGGGAAGGTGGCTCCCTTGAGACCTCTCGGATAGTCCTGTTTTTTGGTTTTTCTGCATGGCAGATTGGAAATTCATATCTTTGATTTTTATTAAAAGGTGTTATATAATTTTGAAAAAAGTTTTCTTCATTATGGGGCGATATAAAAGAATATAGATGAGATAAGATGGACCATAGGAAGTATATAATTAGTAAAAGTATTATAAGAAAGATCGCAAGCTGAAAAAAGGAAGAACCAAATTTCTTATCACTAATAGGTGCTACTGAGGAGCTGTCTCTATAGAGACCTCAGGTGGTTTCAGAGCTAGCATTATCATTACCTTTCTTCTGTTTATTAACACCTGGTCTTTCTAAGACCCCTCCAGCCACTTTAGACTCGCTGGATGTTTTTGGGATCTGTTCAGTTAAATGAGCTTTATTTAGGACCACTTCTTAAAAGAGCGTGTCTTTCTCTATCAATGCTCTTTGAGTTGTGACTAAATTATCTTTCATCTGCGCCAATTCATTCTTTTTTTCTACTAGTGTATTTTCTAAATCTTTTTTCTCCAGATCTAGGTAAATATTTTCAGTAGATAGTTCTGCGTTTTTCACTTCTAATTTACGCTTAAGAGATTTTATTTCTGATAACTCCTCTTGAGCTAAAGAAACATCTCACTCTAATTTCTCTGCCCTAGATTGGAGAGCCTGTATCTCTTCCTTCATCTTGGATTGGAGGGCTTGCATCTCTTCTGATTTTATAGAGAATTTGCTTTCGGCATCTGCAAGAGAAATATCCTTGCGAGTAATCTGAAGCTTAAGATCATTTATTTCTGAATGCAATTATCTTATCTCATCTCTGAGCTTAGAATCATTTATTTCTGATCGTAATCGTGCTATCTCTTCTCCAAGTTGGTATACCCGATTGGAAAGTTTCTCATTTTCTTTTTGGATTTATTAAGGTCATCCTGTATGCACTTATTTTCTTTTTTTGATTGATTTAAAGAATTCTGTATATACTTATTTTCTTTATCTAAGACATCGTATTTATCTACAAACTGACTCCCCCAATATATAGCAACTTCACGATCTTTTTCGCACAAAAAAGTTGTTCTTCAAGCTCTGTTCGGCTGGGAGGGTATTGATTAGCTGGAGAATTTTCAAGTTTATTACCATTATCCAGATCTTTTAAGGTATGGATCTGGGACATTTTATTAGAATTTTTTTTTTTGGAGGAAAAAAAAATCTCAAGTTTTTGGACTTGAAAGTGAGATATTTTAGGTGAAAAGCATTGAACTATCTATTAATGCCTATTGATACATATTGGTGAGTATTAAAATATATTGATATTTATTGAAGGGTATTAATATATATTGATGTATACTGAAAAATATTGATATATATTGGAGAGTATCAACTTATATTGAAGAGCATTGATATATATATATTGATATGTATCAATATTTATTGAAAAAACATTATTTTTTTTCCTAGTATGTAAAATCTAGTAAAGATGGTCGCCCGTCTCCATGATACATTTTATGATGCTAAGGCAACCTTGTTATTAGAAGCCGATATTAAAGAAATTAGAGAATCAAGAGGTAGGATACCCAATGCATCAAAAATAATGGCTAAAAAATTTCATATTGGCCCTAAACGTATTTATGAAATATGGGACTATAAAGAACGCCTTCAGCAAGGGGTTACTTCATCTCAGTCTGTTTTGGAGGAAAATTCCTAAATTTATAAAAAGAAACAGATTCTTGAAGCAGTACCAGAAGAAGTATCTACACCCCTTCCATCTACAGAGATTCCAAAAAAGAATGGTCAAAAAGGGAAGGTTAAAATAGATGAGAAGCCGATTACTGAAGCAACCAGTATGGTGAAAAAAAATAACAAAAATAATATGGCCTCTTCCTCTGACAATTCGTCTGATACATTCAGAGAAGATAGGTTGGAATCTCTTCTTGAAAACTTAGTCAAACGTGGTAAAAAGCTTAAAAGCTTAATAGTTGATACTTCTGATATCTCTTCTATATAAGGATTCACATATGTCAGCAAGAAACTTTCCAGTACTTAAGGCCAAATAGAGCCACTTCTCAAGCTTTGTACAGTTTACACATTTTTTTTTAAGTCCTTCTCACCACTTGGATTAGAGGAATCGGTAGATACTTGGGCCGAATCATGTGAACCCTCTAGAACCTGCTCCTCTTTTGGCAGAACCTTAGCTTCTGGGGCCTTGCTAAATGTTGGGATAGTGTAAGTCTTCCCATGTAACTTTATTCGGAATTGATTTTTATTTGGATCAAGAATATCTTGAACTTTTCGAATCCATGTCATACCTAAACATAACATTGGTTCGGGTTCACCATTATTAATATGAGCAAAATTTCTAGTAGCTGTAACAATCTTACCATCCTTGTCCTTTACACTAATTGGCACATCTGTATACCATCCCAATGATTCAGATATATGTTTGGAATTACCCTTTATAGCAAAGTCAGAAGGTTTATCAGCTTTCCACCCCAGGGCGTTAATTGTTGCATTATTCACTCCCCCAATTTCACTCGCACTATCTAAAAAAGAATTAGTGATCAATAGATCATTTATATTACAATGCAAGTATTGCAATG